TGTGGCCTTTTAAAGTAAATAAATCTGAATGTTAATGAACAGCTTGCTGGATGATCTACTTTGAACCATATATTCAAATGTCTAAACAATGACCCCGACGAGGGCGTAATGCAAAGTTCCCATTCGTAATAATCGCTAACATAACAAATACTATCTTTGGGAAAACAAGATACGATGAGTTGACTCACCCGATTTATGCTTTTCGTGAACATTTTCCCATACTCTTCTTCCATTGCCAAACGCTCCTTAATGAATTGCCCAATTTCATTCACTGTTTCTTCGCCATGTTTCATGTTCTCGTACAGCACATGGAAACCAAGGTGTTTTTCACCCTGAAAACCCTTTTCAATTAGATGTTAAGGAACTAGTCACAAGAACATGGTACAATGAGGAAAAAATAATTAGCTAACCCAAAAATAGTGCGAATAGTCGTAATCAATTGTGTCCACTGCAGCCATGATTGCAATATTATGAAGCGAAATATCAAATCATGGGAAACCTGCAACCAATAGGCGTGTCATCATGGATAAATAGATGCAAATAATCGGCAAATCGATGCAACTTGTTCATACTGCAAATTTTCTGCAAAAACGGGGAGAGATGATGTAAATGACTGGCGAATTGTTCAAACAACTCAATTTTGAATAAGAGATTACTAAAAATTAAAAAGACGGATCATTTCCGGAATTACAAAGTTTGAGTTCATACTACTAGCTTCAAAATTTTAAGAAAACCTTGTCCAAAAACAACAATTACAGCAATTGTAAATGTGGAACCAGAATAACATGGAAATCAAACTTTCTGGAATGAGAAACTACCGTACATTCCTAATAATTTTAACGATTCCAAAAAATTGAATTCGCCGTTGGATGCGCTTTATGTGCATTTACGTCTGCTATGAGTTACAAAGCGCTGAAAATCAGATGAAGTCGTTTTATTTTTGGCTGACTTGATGGAAATTGCATGAAAGTCCATTTTTCATATGTTTGAGTTCATGCAAGTGTGAGATGTTTTATGGAAAGGCAGCGAGATCCATTATCTTTATGTTATCTTTGCGGTCTTTGGTCTAGAACATATTTAGAAAAGTCAAATTTGCTCTTTCCCTACATTAACTTTGCAACAAAAAAATAGTTTAAGTACTTTGCATTGACTTGCAAGTCTAGAGTCTGCGCCGATTAACACTCAACTCGTCAAAAAAGCGTCGAGATTTTAGAGTTGGAAGTACTGTGCAGTCCTCATACGTGATATTTTCAAATTCAAATTAGTACGAACAGTTAAAAACGACGAGAAGCACCAACAGTCAAGAACACTGCAAGTCCTTCAAAATGAGGAAACGCCTACATACGAATGTTTAGACCCCGCTAAGCC